CTTATTACACACCTCTATGTAAAGCTAATGAGCATTTAAAAATAACAGCAACAAATAATATGGGACTTACATGTTTTTATCTTCTCTTCTGCTTCGTCAATTGTCAGCAAAAAAAAATTCAAATTTTAATTTGGCAGTCGAATTTACGACTCTATCTCACAGTTTTTGTAATTTTTTTTTTTTTTTTTAAGTTCGACGGAGGAAAAAATTAACAACAACAATAAAAAATTATAGAAAAACGTAAGTAAATTATTGTAAAGTACATAGAACGGAAAAAAACCCGGTTAATTTTCACTTGGCTGGCACTTGAGACTCGTTAGCGACGTCGGCGTCGTGTAGTGTTTGCGTTTTTCTTTCGTTTGATAATTTATTTCTTAAAATTTTTCTCTCTTATTTTTGCCTTAAACTTGAAACGCTTTGAGCTGCCACAGCAACAACAGTAAAAAAACACAATAAAAAAATAATACAACAGCAAACCGAGAGCCGGGCAATATGAAATGAACTCCAAAATCGAATTGTTCAGTTAGTTAGTTTGCCGGCAACTAAAGACTGCGGCGGCAGCTGGGCCACAGCGTCAACGTCTTGCCCGCAGCGCGACCGATCGACGAGTGAACGCAATGTGCATTGCGCTGTTGGGGAAAATAGCGACGCGCTGAGAGCCACAATCGCCGTCACAGTTACAGCGTCGGCAGCGACGGCAGCGAAGGCAGCGAAGGCAGCGCAACGATCACACGCGCGCTCACTCACACACGCACACACACACACAAGCTGCATTTGCCGACTGTACGCTCGTGTGTGATTGTGTGTTTGTGAAGCAATAGGCTGATCGTGGCGCTGCCGTCGAGCGCTCAGTCGACTTGGAGTTGTTCAGTGGCGACTCCTGTCGGCCAACGTCAGCAGATTCAATCTTGAGCTTGAGTGCTTTGCACATACACATATGCATATGCATGCCTGTGTGCGTGTGTGCGTGCGCTTGTTAGCCTATGAGCGCTCAGTTCACTAGCGTCGGCTCAGTGGCGACTCCTGGCGGACAAGGCGGCCAAACTTGAGCACTTTATGCCGTATGTGTATGTATGAGTGCTCAGTGGCTCAGTGGCGACTCCTGGCGATCAAGCGACGCCAACGTCAGCTTTTTGTAGCCCAAAATTTGAGTGTATGTGTGTGTGTGTTTGTGTGGAATTTGATGGGAACCCTCACTATGCAGACTCAAATGAGGTGCCAGAACCCCAAGTATCAGATCAGTCTAGCTGATCAAATTACGTGCTCAATATATACATATGACCTAAAAACTGGAGTTTCCGTTCTTCCCCATCTAATAAAATACTAAATTATAAATAGAATCAATTGTTGTTTAATTCTTTCGTGCTTTGTATATTGTAGCGCTAAAGCTTAAGTATCGATTGAAACATTCATTTCATTTGTATGCCCTGAGCCCATTGTAAATGGAAAATCCGGGCCTATTGGTTTTCTGTAAGTATATGTAACTGGCAAGAGTAGGCGTGGCCACTTCATAAAGTATTTGTGCATATATCTATTCTTGATCAGCTTGAGAAGCTGAGTTTATCTAGCAATGACCGTCTGTCCGTCCGTCTCTTCGTATGAACGCAACGATCTCGTAAATCATAAAAGCTAGGAACTTGAAATTTTACATGTATACAGATGTAGAGCATACGCAGTATTGTTGTTGTTTCGACAACTCATCCCATTTCCCTATTATCATATAACCAATAATCGATCATTTGACTTACATCTTTAATCTTAACTTGAATACCATTAAAGCTCTCGATTTTCGATTTACTACTTAGGTCCATGTAATGAATGCAAATATTTAGTCATTTATTGATTTTGGATACCACGCTCCATTCCTCTAAATTGAAAAAATGAGCTTTCAATATTAAAGAATTACATTTTGACAATTATCAACATTTGAATGTTATTATAAAGCTCTGAGAGTTGAATTTAGAAGGTCCATCTATAGGAACAGTTATTCTTGTTGATTAAACTCTCATAATATAGCCCAAATGCTGCAGCGCGTGCAAGATTCAGGGTATCTACTAGTCGAGCAGTCCCGACTAGAGCACTCTTACATGCTATAATTGTTATTTAGCAGCTTGTCTAATTGCGAGTACTTGAAGTTTGAGCTGTTTAGCTTAATGAGTTAATTCGTAGGAAAATCTTTGAGAAGATAGCAGAATAGCATTTAGATATAGCTATGCATATCTAATGCAAAATATAGTGTATGAGGAAATGCAAGAATTTTATACATACAGAATTCTGAACTACACGAAAAACATTTAATATTAGTAAATAAATCCTAATATTCTTAAACATATTGGTGCGTTTTATTTTATCTTCGATTTCCTCACTTAACTCACTTAAAAGCCATACTCAATAGTTTCAGGCAAAGTATTGTCTCACGAGCTCAATAATTCAGTACATGAGAACTCMAAAAATAAATAAATAAATCAAAATTAGACTTGTTTGAGAACCTCCTCAGCTATCTTTTGTTTACAGTCTGTAAATCGAAGACATTACTCAAATTTGTTATTGATGATTCTTCACATATGTATCTGTATACAGATCATTTAATTTCATTTCCGCTGATCTCCGACTCCGATTCGGAGCTTTAGAATTTGTGCATTGCGAGCACATGAAATGATCCTCTAATCATATTCAAACAGAGGTGCACA